CTGTTGATCTTTCGCCACTTCTTGAAGGACGGTCGCCAACTGCACCAGAGAGACAAAGGCGGGGCTAGCTTTGTATCGGCGAGCGGTGACAGTCTTGCTGATGCATCGCCATTCACGCTCAATGAACTACACTCAGGGCGTACTCTAGATGATAGGCTCGATGAGCGACGCCCGTGGAAGATCATGTCGACTGCGCACCTCACTGGGATCCCAGACCCATGCTATGTGTCCAAGTTCATGTGGAGCACGCCGGACACTGTACCGCGAACAGCGTGCTTGGCGATGGCCTGTTCGAGCGGGACTAGTTTGGAGGCATGTTCAGTTTCCTGCGGGCACGGCTATTACGGGGCTCCAGGGAGACGGTGACATGAAATAACTTACTAGCTGGGCATTCATTCTGAAAGGTTGACACCTTTGTACACGCGAGGCAGCAGCGAGAAGAGAGAGGGGGGGGATCTTGGATGCTTGGGAGTTCCGATTCCCCCTAGAATCGGTTGCCGCAGGCAGTCTGGAGAGCTTATTAGACGCTGGATCCCGGCGTTTGCCGTTTCTCTCCTGTTTCGCTAGCGCTGCCCACACCCCATCGTTTACTATCCTGCATATATCCGTTGCTACTGGCTCCTCTTGCACAACATGTAGCACTGTGCTATGTAACGCCAGCTTGTCCTCAATGTTATTTTACGTTTAGTGGTATATCCAGCCTCGCACTGGTTGTAACAGCAAAGCTAGGCACTTCTTGGCTCAGCTAAAGACCAGGTACCAAAGAGTAGAGTGGTACTGCACTGTTGCCTGCCGCCTTGCTCTGGTCAACCTGTTCAAAATAATAGCTACCGAAACAAGGGTGTTCACGCCATTAAGATCAATATTAATGGTGCAGTTCAGTGTACACTCTGTGCATCTGTATAGGAAGGCCTGTAAACTTGAGCTACCACCTGCTTGTGCATCTAACCCTAACCCCACAGGGGAATCGGCTGGTAAGGCTAAGCCAGTACCCGCGAGTAAGTAGAGACGATCGGGGAGCGGGGTGACGCTTTCGTATTTACAGTAGCGCTCATGCGCTCTAGCCGTATAAGTATTTCCGTCGTCGTGATGTCCATGTCCGTCGAGTGCTCATGCGTGTTGTCGACCTCCACAAGCTCAATATAAACCTCGCTATTTCCTTTGACATGTGGCCCACCCAGCATGCACGGCTATATCTTGCGCGTCACGGCGACGGTCGGGTGGTTGTCTTCGGTGTGCGTTTCTTGGCTCGATACCAGCCACCATGGCCATTCCAGCGTATCGACCATCCATATGCCCTTGATACGCGTCCTACCAACTACCGAATAGACTAGCCCCTACACTAGTTCGTTTTGAGGCTCCTAGCTTCACAACCATGGCGAACAGAACACTGAGCATGCTATCACCTTGGACTCTGTAACTAACGAAGACAAGGCACCTTCAACGATACTTCTTCTTACGCCGGGTGCGTGATCAGCTAGTGGTGGGTACGCTTCCCCCTCTTTCCTTGTGAAACTTGACCGAGCTTGCCTTCAGATGAACTGTTCAAGGGACCGAGCAGAGCCCTCCAGAATAATCGAGGGAGATCTCGGGCTGAATGTACGCGGCTCTACCCACTATCTCGCAAGTTGAAATACCAAGCTATCTCGGCAATACTTCAAACTTGGCCCGCGCCACATCCACAAGTTGAAGGAGGGCATGAGGCCTTGAGGCCTGACCCCCATTAGCTCACAAGTTCGAGGTCTGTTTGAGGTCTGTCCTCAATATTGCTCCTAGACTATTGAAAATTTCAGATCTAGAGGCTAGTTCAAGCCCAGACAGAAGTTCAAGGGCCTGTCGAATGCCCTGGGCTGACGAGTGAATGTTGTGGATACGTCCTGCAAGACCTATATCTCTACGACCTTCACGGCGAAGGCCATAAGGTGCAGATTATGGCAGTCAGGCAGTGAGTCCTTCTTACCTTTCTGCTGACTACAAGCTCACGGAAGTTATCGTCCCTTAGAGACACCAAGGATTCAAGAGCTTTGTCGCGCAACACGACCACCTCCGCCGTGGTGACATAATCGCCGTCGCCATCGCCCCGGGACGCGCCAAGAAGGGCCAGCTCTCGACCATTCTTTCGGAAAGAATTCTCGTTGCCCGGAACCTTTACCAGCCGCCCCCGGGCCACTTCGGTCTCAAGGACTAGGAAATTACCTACCGTAAAGCGCTACTTGAACCTCGTCCTCGGCAAGGGCACAAGCGCACCTCCATCGCCCGTCGTCGGATCCTTCAACTACATTTGCCGATTTTTCAA